TTTTTAATTGATTTTTCAAAATGTCAAATTGAACCAATTCATGTATTTTTTTAAAATTATTTATTATATTTATTTAGTTTTAATATAGAATCTGTTATTATTTTTTTCTGCAGTCTTATATCGGTTTTGGTTGATGGTAAGTTATTTCTCATTTTGTTCTGTTTAAAATTGGTGAAAATTGGAAGTTTATTGCATTACAAGGTTTACGTTTCATTAAAAACACTGTTTATCGATATAAGAATGTCCTTGGCTCTTCGGAAGTGGAAAAAAATCGGCGAGGAGATGTGGCCTCATTTGCATACGACATTTTCGTACGTTTGTCAGACTACAAAAAAGACCGGTTCATGAATGAAATATATCATTGTTTTATTCAGGTATGGGCTCATTTTGATCAAGATAAAAAGTGCATTAAGCAAAACTGCATATTTATGCGTGTTTTTTTTAATCGGTGATTATTTCTTATGTTTTCCGGACGAACTTCCGGTAATTTTTGTGTCAGTTTACAGACGATGGCCAAACGTCTAAAATATCCTTGTGGTGTGTCCAGCAGGTCACGTAGTTACGAGTTATAGCTTGATAAAATGGCTGCGCGTAAATACATAACGCTCGGAAACTGGTGACTAGACGATACTGTAACATTTTCATTTTTGATTACTATCTCACAGCTATTTCTTATTCATAAAAGAAAATCTGCTGTTTTACAAATCTGCACGATTTAAAAAAAAATCTATACAGTTTTATATGCTGAACTGATTCAATTTCTAATTGAGGAAACAATGCATTTTCTCTATGGCTAAAACTATACATAAAGCAGAGACATATAAAGCCAAAATTATAGTCAGTAAGTTGCTGAAACAAATGTATTCATCCACAATATATATATGATATATAGATCTATTGACTCTCTGGGCTGCAATGATGGGTATTGAAAAATGACACAAATTGTGATATCGCATATTATTCTTATTTTTGATAGAAAATTCATATAAATCCAGTTTTTATAGCATTGAACAAATTAATTTTTACACATAAAAAGCACAAAAAATGTAAAATACTATGCATAAATTCTCTCTGGATACAATATTTATAAATCATTGAAGTTAAGTTTGAAGCATTTCAAAGGGCTTATTCGTAAAGATATATACATATATATATATATATATGTATATTTTTTCGTGGATATCAGATAACTATGCTATTATACATGATTAACAATATCCATCCTAAAATATTTTATTTCAATGTCTTTGTAGAATATGCTGCACTTGATTTTTGCAATGGATTCAAGGGGTGCAAATTTACATACTTATATAGAGTCTAATGAACCTTTCGCAATCTCACATTTATGTCATGTCATCATACGTCTAGGCGGAAAACTTCAAGATATCAAACATATTGTCAGCCAAAAAGAAATCAAGAAAGGAAACTTAACTGGAATATACACTGTATAGCTATACATGTAGGTCTGAATTAGTAATTTAACACATCACTCAATGCTTGAAAGAGTACAGTACCGATATTCCGATACATTTACAGTACAACCTGGCTCCGCCCTCACTAACGGCCGTGCCGTAAAACATATAACAAACATGTCATTTTTGTTTAGTGTTTTTTTAAGCTGCTCTTGTCGAGAGCCAAGCGGCTTATTGGTTCTGTTCAGAGAACAAAATGACGGACCCACTTCCGTTCCCGGTGCGTGCGCATAATTCAGTCTTGCATGCTTCCGCTACATAGTTTCGTTATCGTAAATAGAAGGTAGAATCTCTGACACTCATTTGTGGGTTACATAACGTCTTCTGATACTCGTCTCCAAATAATAATCCAGGCTTTAGATAATTGCTGAAAACAAAATGTTTATCTCCGGTGCATTCTACGAGAGTTGTGGTGGTGAAATTCGTGCACTGGGGTTGAGCGTTTTAGCAACTCGGATTTGTTTTCGTGACGGGACTGTCAAGCATTGACGCTGTCTGTACGGGCTAGCTTTTTGTATTTTGTAAGTACAAGGAAGAAGTAAATTTTATATACTTATAAACCGTATGAGTGATGAAGTATAAACTCTATCTTGATGTTTCAAACGGGAACGTAATATAACATATCGTGCTTAGGTTGATAACGCTAATAAACCATCGTTGCTACCACGGACGTGGCTCCGAGACGAGACGATATGTGAACTGTGTATGCTTATCAAACATTTCTGTAACGCAGCATGCTATTTCTGTTTTATTTATTTATGAAAATGTAACAATTTAAGAACATGACACAACTCCCGCTGCTGTTTGACAAGAATTCGCGCTGTGCCAAATACTATCCAATCCGGTGTAAGGGAAATGACTCTTACGTCGCATTTAGAAATATAATTTAAATTATATTCCAAGAACATTTGTGAAATTTTGTGATTAATTGTATATTCAATTACAGTAAATAAAGTCACTACATATATTAATATTATTATTAATATGAATAAAAAATAAATAAAAATTAAAGGAGTACAATATCTCTTTTCTCCATGCATATTTTCCCGCTACTGTTAATTATCCTTCATTTCATCAGCACAAAATGCACCTATTCTTTATTACCCATTCACCGATTGCCATTCTGCACGTAAATGCTCAAGTCACATCATCGGAGGATGCTAATTAATGAACATTACAACAATGCGTCACAAAAGAGGGCGAACAAAGAGGAGAGGGAGAAATGTTTTTTAGGCATCATTTAAGAGGTGCTTAATTTTGGAAATTCCAAAGGCAACATCATCACATGATCTGATTTTCAATTAGCGGAATACAGAACACATGTCTGAGGTATTAATATAGTAGATATTGATGCTCAACGTGTTACTGAAGCAATAACATTTAAAGTGGTGAGCGGCTTTAATGTCACACTGACATAATTCTAGTTTGATAATGGGATTGTTTATTTTGTGGAACAGATATACGTACTCTTGCCTCAAGTATGCCGATGTGTTTTAAGTGGATACGTCGTAGATATATATCTCTGATGAACGTGTTTGTTGCTTTTGGACGCAAAGTCCCTCAAACAGGAAATTCGCTACTTGTGTATCTCTTCCAAAAATGGACCACGACAATAACGGTAATCGAACACGTTCTAAATACTGAAGTTTGACCCGGGGAGGTCACAGGGGAGTTATTTCGTTCGAGCCAAAATGAAATAATTAATGTTTGTGCGTCTATGTTATCTGATTCATACTAAATAATTCACGAAATCTGGATACGGAGAGGTCATAATGGAAGTATCTGGTCCTGGTCAAATTGATTAATTTTGAGATAATTTAGACTTCGAACCCGCAACCGAATGCTGGAGGGCTAGTTATCTTATAGACGATCAGACGCTAGCCCGCGTCCCAGTGGTGGAGGGCTAGCTATAGTGATATTGGACGGCCAGATACTTAACCAATCAGCAGTCGCGACTTTAGACACAATTGTGTGACGTTAGCAACAGTAGTTGTGGGCGGAGAAAACAAGGCTTATGCAAATTTCAGTCTATTACTTTAACTTAACTGATTGGACTTTAATAGGTTTAAACATATTATTTTTAGTTAGATCAGATCAATAATAAGAGAGAAAAAAAAGAAAAAAAAAGGTTTTATTAAATAGTGATCAAATATCAAATATTTCAAATTATTATCTATTTATTTCAAAATGCTTTTAAAATGAACAACATGTTATGTTCCAGTAATGAACCAATATACAAACATTCTTAGGTATTTTGCTTACCTATAATACCGAAAACAAAATCTATTTACAGAATACAATATGTGCTGTGTAAACATTTCAAACCCTTAAAAACAGACCTCAGGTAGAAATATTCAACGAAAGACTATTGAGCTCTCATTTGTTGACGAAAAAACAAATTCGCGAAATTACGTGAAAACTTCGAAATATAACGCAAAGCTTTCGTAGTTTAATTGATAGCTACTGTTTGTCATTCAAATTATCACTCCGAACAAAAAATATTGACTGTTTATTGTGAACAGGTTAACACTTTAACACGGAGTTGAAAGTGCAAACCTTTTAAAGCAATAGTATATATGTAGACCAAAAGTCCCATAAACAGGAAATGAGCTACACAGGGGAGTTATTTCGTTCCGGCCAATATTAAATAATTAATATTTGTGCCTCCAGGTTATCTGATTCATACTAAATAATTCACAAAATCTGGATACGGAGAGGTCATAATGGAAGTATCTGGTCCTGGTTAAATTGATCAATTTTGAGATTTAATGATAATGGAATTGAGATACACATGTTATCCATCCAAGAGACCTTGTGTTAGCTGACTGGTCACTAGTGTGTTTTCTACGACTGGTCACTTATGAAAGCTATGATAATTACTTCTTATTTACGAAGAATGTTTTCCAGATGTAAAAACAAAAAAAAAGGATATCAGATTCACTTGTGCGCCAGTCAGGAGGGTTAGCCGACGGTTCTGGATTAAGACAATTTCGACTTTTGGAACTGCGATGTTATTCTAAATTAATGATACCTTTGATTGACTTTACTTCTCATTTACATTAATTGGTTTGGTTTGGTTTGTTTGTGTTTAACGTCCTTTTAATAGCTATGGTCATTTAGGGACGTGCCAGGTTTTGGTGGTGAAAGAAAACCGGAGTTCTCGGAGAAAAAACACCGACCTTCCGCAAGTACCTGGCAACTGCCCCACACAGGTCTTGTGGTAGTGGTAACAGAATGTCAAACGCCTTAACCACTTGGCCACCACCCCCATTTACTTTGAAGTAATGCATAAAGTAGCTTAAAATAAATATGAATGATATTTAAAGGGCAGCAAATAGTCAACAAAATTGAAAAGACTCATACAATGAACCTTCATAATGACATTGATAACTTACATCCAGACGAAATGATCAAGTGAGGGGAAAAACCCTATGGGGCATTCCTCGAACAAATCAAAAACCCATAAAAAATTTAATATTGACTTCTGTAGCTAACCAGAGAGCACACATAATATACTCCGGACATTACCTGGATTCATTCATGAAAGCGTGTTTGAAGGCTTCTATTCGACCTATCCACTTTTCTCTGGGAGACTCGTTGTTATCATAGGACAGCAGTTCTTTGATGAGCTGATTGTCTAGTTCTGAAGATGGGTCCGTATTATAATCATCATAATAGTTATCATAGTTGTAGTCGTATGTATATGAATCAAAATTCCAATAGCTATCTTCGTCAGAATCATCGTAGCGGCTACCAGTATAGTTTTTATTTAGATCATCACCGTAATCTGTCGTATTAAATAAGGGATCGTCTTCCGTCCATTCAGTATTAGACGAGTTTCTTTTGACCTTTTTAAAACAGAAGACAAATATAGATAATTAATCACAAAAATACTTATTTAAAACAAATTCAGTAAGTCGATGTAAAATAAACAGCCAAATAAATACCGTAATATTATCTGCACGTTATGGCTAGTACCAACCAAGTCTGGTCTCAGTACCTACCAAGTATGGTCTCAGCACCTACCAGGTCTCGTCCCAGTACCTACCAAGTCTGGTCTCAGTACCTACCAAGTCTGGCCTCAGCACCTACCAGGTCTCGTCCCAGTACCTACCAAGTCTGGTCTCAGCACCTACCAAGTCTGGTCTCAGTACCTACACAGTACCTACAATCTACCATGTACCTACAATGTACCAATTCTGGTCTCAGTACCTACCATGTCTGGTCTCAGTACCTACAATGTACCAAGTCTGGTCTCAGTACCTACAATCTACCATGTCTGGTCTCAGTACCTACCAAGTCTGGTCTCAGTACCTACCAAGTCTGGCTTCAGTACCTACAATGTACCAAGTCTGGTCTCAGTACCTACCAAGTCTAGACTCATTACCTACAATGTACCAATTCTGGTCTCAGTACCAACCAAGTCTGGTCTCAGGACCTACAATGTACCAAGACTGGTCTCAGTACCTATCAAGTCTGGTCTCAGCACCTACCAAGTCTGGACTCAGTACCTACAATCTACCAAGTCTGGTCGCAGTACCTACAATGTCCGATGTCAGGTCTTAGTACTTACCAAGTCTGGTCTAAGCACCTACCAAGTCTGGGCTCAGTACCTACCAAGACTGGTCTCAGTACCTCCCAAGTCTGGTCCCAGGACCTACCAAGTATGGTCTCAGTACCTAAAAAGTCCCATGTCTGGTCTAAGTACCTACCAAGTCCGATCTCAGTACCTACAATATGCCAAGTCTGGTCTCACTACCTACCAAGTCTGGTTTCAGTACCTATCAACTCTGGTCTCAGTACCTGCCAAGTCTGGTCTCAGTACGTACCAAGTCTGGTCTCAGTACCTACAATGTACCAAGCCTGGTCTCAGTACCTACCAAGTCTGGTCCCAGTACCTACCAAGTCTGGTCTCAGTACCTACCAAGTCTGGCCTCAGTACCTACCAAGTCTGGTCCCAGTACCTACCAAGTCTGGTCCCAGTACCTACCAAGTCTGGTCTCAGTACCTACAATATACCAAGTCTGGTCTCAGTACCTACAATGTACCAAGTCTGGTCTAAGTACCTACCAAGTCTGGTCTCAGTACCTACCAAGTCTGGTCTTAGTACCTACCAAGTCTGGTCTCAGTACCTACAATGTACCAAGTCTGGACTAAGTACCTACCAAGTCTGGCCTAAGTACCTACAAAGTCTGGTCTTAGTACCTACCAAGTCTGATCTCAGTACCTACAATATACCAAGTCTGGTCTCAGTACCTACAATATACCAAGTCTGCTCTCAGTACCTACAATGTACCAAGTCTGGTCTCATTACCTACAATGTTCCAAGTCTGGTCTCACTACCTACAATGTACCAAGTCTGGTCTCAGTACCTACAATGTACCAATTCTGGTCTCAGTACCTACCATGTCTGGTCTCAGTACCTACAATGTACCAAGTCTGGTCTCAGTACCTACTAAGTCTGGTCTCAGTACCTACCAAGTCTAGTCTCAGTACCTACAATATACCAAGTCTGGTCTCAGTACCTACAATGTACCATGTCTGGTCTCAGTACCTACCATGTACCAAGTCTGGTCTCAGTACCTACAATGTACCAAGTCTGGTCTCAGTACCTACCAAGTCTGGGCTCAGTACCTACCAAGTCTGGTCTCAGTACCTACCAAGTCTGGCCTCAGTACCTACAATGTACGAAGTCTGGTCTCAGTACCTACAATGTACCAAGTCTGGTCCCAGTACCTACAATGTACCAAGTCTGGTCTCAGTACCTACCAAGTCTGGTCTCAGTACCTACAATATACCAAGTCTGATCTCAGTTCCTACCAAGTCTGGTCTCAGTACCTACAATGTACCAAGTCTGGTCTCAGTACTTACAATATACCAAGTCTGGTCTCAGTACCTACAATGTACCAAGTCTGGTCCCAGTACCTACAATATACCAAGTCTGGTCTCAGTACCTACCAAGTATGGTCTCAGCACCTACAATGTACCAAGTCTGGTCTCAGTACCTACCAAGTCTTGTCTCAGTACCTACCAAGTCTGGTCTCAATACCTACCAAGTCTGGTCCCAGTACCTACCAAATCTGGTCTCAGTATGGCCATCACTGCCTCACTTGTTTGGTTTATATAGGACCGTTTGATCGGATTCATATTGCAAAATGAGACAGCTGGAAACTGCAGTGGATTGTGCTTTAATGTCACAGCCGTTTTGATAGGCCATGAGTAATAGCTCTCGAACAGATTAGCGAGTTGAAAGATTAGATATCCAGTTGTTGCTATAAAGACCACGGTCCAAAAAATCTTCATGTAAGCTTGTTTGGCACCAAAGATCTTCGGAAGGCCGTGAAGTGTGCTGTTCTCCGCCATTTCACGAAGCAAAAGTCGAAATCGTGGTTTGTCTTTTGTTTCCATTTCGCCCCAGTAAACAAACTCAATGAAGATTACCCGAGGCGATTAAATCGTATACTGTACAGGTAAATAACATGTTCGATAAACTACAGATGGCATCTCGATAGGCGTTAACCGTTGTTGACAAAAGACGATTGTCATTTATGTTAAAGAGAAATCTAATATCGGCAAAAAAACATCATTATTGACGCGATGGCGTTTTGAAATGTCATGCTTGCCGATGATAGACATTTTTCAGCTATGTTGTGTTTAATGATAGACAAAAAATGATAAGAGAAACATGTTCTTACATCAAACGCAACTGTTATTCTTCTTTCTCGTGTTAATTATTATTTTTAAATATACAGGATTTCAAAAGTCATTTTGTACCTAAAGTAAAAAGCTGTTTGGCAAGCTACCCACAAATCACGAACTTCATAACATTGTGCATAACCTGAAATAAATTAAAAAAA